ACCGCGCCCGCTCTCCTCCCCTCTCCCCTTCCCTGGCGGCTCACGTCCCTCCCTCCCTCCCCCCCGTCCTCTCCCCCACGGGTGGTCTCCCCCTTCTCCCACCCCCACGGGTGCAGCCTCCGCGCCCCTCTCCCTCACGGGGCTCTCTCTTACCCTCCCCTCCGCGGCCATCCGCCGCCCCGCAGTTTCCCGCCAAATCCCGGCCGCCCCCTCAGGCGAGCCGAGCCCGACCCCCTCTCCGCCGCTCCAGGTGCCGCGGGCCTCGGAGCAGCAGCAGGAGAAGGAGCAGGAGGAGCCGCTGCTGCGGGACAACCCCCGCCGGTTCGTCATTTTCCCTATCCAGTATCACGACATCTGGCAGATGTACAAGAAGGCCGAGGCCTCTTTCTGGACGGCGGAGGAGGTGAGGTGGCGGTGGTGGGGTGTCTGGGGGCAGCCCGGGGCTCTGCGGTGGACCTCATACCCAGAACCCTCATCTATGTGGTTATTTCACCGTTGCCTCTCTGCAATGTTTTAGGTGGATCTTTCCAAAGACCTCCAGCACTGGGAGTCCCTGAAGCCTGAGGAGAAGTACTTCATTTCTCACGTCCTCGCCTTCTTTGCCGCCAGCGATGGCATCGTCAATGAAAACTTGGTACGTGTGTAGAAACGGCCCTGACAGAAACATCGCTTTGCAAAGATAACCAGATAACTCTGCTCCTGACACGCTTGCTGGCTGATCCAGCTTGTTTGTTAGATCATGTCGTGTTGCAGCACTACAGCATGTAAAGCTGTTTTAAGCTAATTAGCAAATTGGGGTTGCTTTTGTAATCCACAAGTTTGCTCATGCCCCACGTTGCGCTGGGCGTTGCCTCCCAGTAATGCTGGGCTGGGTCAGAGCCCCTCTTCTGTTCCTGCCCTCTCCGTGCTCGTCTTACTAGGGGAGGATAAGTAAAACTAAAAAAAATTCCCATTTCTCTTGGCATCAAAGAATAACTCACACCTTGGAGCTGTAAGAGACTATGGCTCCTTGTATTGGTGTTAATAATCCACATGTCTGGGATTAATATGAAGAGGATGCTGTGGGTTGAGCAAGAACTGTTATAGACAGCTCAATGCCTCTGATCTGCAAGTTATATATGCTTTTGCAAACACTCATTTATTTCCTCTAGGTGGCGCGGGTCAGTCAAGAAGTGCAAGTCACAGAAGCTCGTTGTTTCTATGGCTTCCAGATTGCCATGGAAAACATACATTCAGAAATGTACAGTCTTCTTATTGACACCTACATCAAAGATCCTAAAGAGAGGTTTGTATTGCCTGGTGATGAAAAGTTCAAAACTCAAAATTTTAAGAGCTGGGATTTAAATGATGCGTATCAGTCACTCTCTAACTTAAAGCTAATTTTAGGATTTAAATTAGATTTATATGAAATACCACTGCTGCTTAAGAGCAGCTTTACTTCAGAATATCTTTCTCTTCTGAAGTGTATGAGCAAGGACTTGCTTAAATTAAAAGTGAAACTGAAACCATTTAATACTGAAATAAAGGAATGAAACTATGTAAAAGATGGAGCAGTCAAATAAGGGGAGTATATTAAATTACAGTAAGCGCTTATATGGAGGACCCCTGCACCTAGTAGAAAGCTGTGTAGGAAAGTTTCTCTGAGAATATCACTTTTATTAAAATGTCATCTCTAAAACCCAGTGCATTTAGTTAACAGCCAGCATTTTACATAGCATGTGCTGCCCTCACTTGACTATTTTTCTTGGGGAGAGGATAGCATGTTGCATTTGCTGAAAAGTGTTTTTTGGTCTTAATTGAAAATAAAATCAAAGTGTAAAATTTTCATAATAAGATCAATCAATTCAAGAATGGTATCTTAAAACTAAATGCTGGGTTTTGAGCTGTCTGGACTGAGTTATTCTGGTGTTTGTCAGACCAACACCCTGTTGAGAGAAATGTCATATGGTATTGCAGTGCTATTTGCAATCTAGATATATTTAATTGCTGCTACTTTGTAGAAAGCTGACAGTGTAATTTTTACTCTAAGATGTTGAATTCCAGTAAAAGTTTAAGGAAGGACTGCTTATATGAGAGCCCCGGTGCATTGCCACTGGGCAGTGGAGGCTGGTTGATCTGTAGCTTTGAAAGCCTCATTAGAGTACATCCCTTGATGAAACCGTACTCTTGGTATTGCCATGGGAATTAATGTGACCTGGCGTTCATACGATGGGTAAGCGATGAAAAGATAGTTGATGGGTACAAATAGAGCTACACTGGCGCAAAATAAGATGCGGAAGGAGACTTCATTATTAGGGTGAAGGTGTAGGGCACTTATAAGTGAACAGTGCTGTGAATGCTTATTGCACTAGTCGTGCTGAGGTCTGATACTAATAAGTTTTATCTTTCTCAGGGAATTCCTTTTTAATGCTATTGAAACGTTACCATGTGTTAAAAAGAAGGCTGACTGGGCCATGTGCTGGATTGGGGACAAGAAAGCAACATATGGTGAGTACATCTATTGGATGCAAAGTGAAATTCCTTCCCTAAAAAAGACGGAGGAACCACCATTTGTCCAGACTTCACAGTTTACGGGGATTATTGTTGTCACAGGGGGGAGTACGTGCTCTCCAGTGTAAGACTTCTAGAGATGAAGAAAATAATTTTCATCTTGCAAATGAGCTACTGACATGAATCTGGGTAAAACTGCTGGCAGTTTGAATAACGGTAGCTCATGTGGCAATCTTTGCATGCCTGGCTATATGATCAAATTGCTGTCACGTGTCGGAACTGAACTGGCCATCTGTCTCCAGCAGACATGTACAGTTGGAGGCTGTAGCTTCTGATTCTTGATGTCTTAATTCAAAGGTGAGATGAGATGGTACAGATCATCGTTTCACTAACATAAAGCATGCTTCATGGCCAAAGTTCCCTACTTAATCAAAGATGAGCAGACACTGACTTAAATCAGCTGCTAAAATGACTGCTCTTTTTCAGTGTGTAATCTTTGAAAGAGGATGGTGCTGATGGTTAACCTGGGGGAAGGAGCCTTGGCTTCAGCTGCTTAGTAGCTACTCTATAATTAGTTTTTATTTCTCATGTTTAAAAGTTTTGCTTGCTGACTAGAAGCCTTTGCAGCAATAGTTTTTAAGGACAGGGTATAGCACACTTAAGCAGGAACTTCTTCATTCTCCTTGGAGGATGCAGCTCACTGGTCTATTCACAACTTCTGGGTATTAATTCTTTAAGTTTTCTGTGTGATACTACTATAAATCTTTTCTTAACAGGAGAACGTGTAGTAGCTTTTGCAGCAGTGGAAGGAATCTTCTTTTCTGGCTCTTTTGCATCAATTTTTTGGCTGAAGAAAAGAGGATTAATGCCTGGACTCACTTTTTCTAACGAACTCATCAGTAGAGATGAGGTATGAATCAAACTCTGGCAGTTAAGATGGTAATGTGCCACAGTAGCTCAAAGTAATGATATGTGATTGGAGCCTATATTTTAAACCAGCAGTATGTTTAGAAACAGGCAGTCTATAAAGCTCACTAAAGTGTGTAAAGATGTGTCATTGTGGATCTTACAGTAGAGAATGAATGAACTTAGCATTTTACTTCCTTTAAAGTAGTTTAATGAAGTTACTCTTGCACTCAGCATACCTTGCCACTTGGAGCGAGCGCAGCTGGTGTTGGCTGAACTCACTTATGCCTCCTCCTGGGTAGGCAGAAAGTTGTCAGCAGAGAACACTAACATGGCATGTGCAAAGACGGTGCCTAGATATTGGGCTTATTTATTCTGTGCCACTGATTTGAGTGGCTCTGTTAGATCGGTTTTCCTGAAATAAATTTCTGAAACTTCTTTGCAGGGCTTGCACTGTGATTTTGCCTGCCTCATGTTCAAGCACTTGATACACAAGCCATCAGAGGAAAGAGTAAAGGAAATAATCATGAATGCTGTTCTCATAGAACAGGTAATTGTCTGCTCCTTGTTTAGGAACTTGATTGCCATTAAACAGAAAACTGGGGAGCTGTTGGGTATAAAATTAACCCAGATGGTACAGACTGAATACTGGTTTCTGTACATAAAGTGCTTTTATTATCTGCAGGAATTCTTGACGGAGGCACTGCCTGTAAAGCTGATTGGCATGAACTGCACTTTAATGAAACAGTACATAGAGTTTGTAGCAGACCGGCTTATGTTGGAACTGGGATTTAAAAAGGTAAGGCTATAATACCCTGAATCTTTCATGGGAACAGATAATATTCATTTCCTCCAGAAACCCAAATTTTAAAGTTGTTGCAGCAATATTGGTATAACTTGTAAAACCATTGAGCAGTCCTGCTGCTGGATCCTGTTTGCAGACCCACAGAAGGAAAAGCAAAAAGGTTCTGTGGAAAAGCAGCTATGTAAGAGTTGCTGTGCTTCTGTCTACTGCAGCCAAAAGACAGGAACAAATACAGTGGAGAAGGCTTGGGGCAGAGATGGTGGTGTTTTTTTTGGTTTGCTAGCGAGTAAGCCTGCTGATGTAGAGAAGGCTTGGGGCAGAGATGGTGGTTTTCTTGTTTGCTAGCGAGTAAGCCTGCTGATGTTGTCATTAGACTCCTTCCAGCTGATCTCAAATGCCCTCATGTATTCAAGATGTGAGCACCTGCAGTGACTATTGAATTACCTTTGCGTTTCAGATATACAAAGTGGAGAATCCTTTTGACTTCATGGAAAACATCTCTCTGGAAGGCAAGACCAATTTCTTTGAGAAGCGAGTAGGTGAATATCAGAGGATGGGAGTCATGTCAAAGCCCACAGACAACTCTTTCACCCTGGATGCGGAATTTTAAATGAACTGAGACAACACAAGTTAATGCGTATGCTCCCCAGTTTACAGGGAAACATTAAATATATTGAGTCACAGTGTGACTTGATTCCTGTACTACAATCCCACTCTTGAAAAGTGTGGTGATACTGGTACATTTCAAGAGGCTAGTGTAGCTCCAGCAGTAAAATCCCTTTTTATTAGACTTTGCCAATGCTGTTAATTCATAGAATGTGTAGCTGTATCTCTGACAACAAATGCTGCTCCATTTTGTGAAAGATACGGGCGCCTTCTGCAAGACGGGAGGTTATGGGCAGTGACCACTAGTTTCTGCTGTTCTCACTGTAAACAAAGGAGCAGTTTAAAAATTCTAGTCTTAGATTTGCTGAATACTCTGCAGGAAACTCTGGAGGCAACTACATGACCTCACTGCTTACTTAGCAGGTTTTAAGTTTACCTTTTTTAATATCGTTTTAATAGTTGTACACAAACCTGGCACTTTAATGTTTAAAATAAAGAACTGTTTTGTAATACTCAACGATGGTAAAATGCAAGTCTAATTAGACTTTTGCAACCTAACTGTTTGTGACTTGTGCTTCTTTCTGGGTATGTAACTTAAAAATGGTGCTGTGGATCAAACTTGATTTTGAAATCTATGGAAGAACAGGAAGAAACTTGGCATGGAAGGTGAAGTTGGGTATTCTGGGTACTGAAAAATAACATACAGCTGGCTTCTGGACTTGATTGCTTTTTTTTTCTTTAACATCTGTAACAGTATTTCATATAACAGTAATAAAGAGCTGGTTGGATTCAGCGTTGTACTGGCTTCGGTGCTCCAATGGGCAAATGTGTTAATTTCCTGAATTACAGGCTTTCCCAGGAAAGGCAAGTTCTGCAGGAAATAGCTGCTTAGTCATGTGGTTGGTAGATGTCAAGTGAAATTGGTATGCTTAGCTCCGACTTTCAGCTTGACTGCAGTAAAGGCACGGCGTTTCAGGGTGGCTTCAGCTAATTCAGGTCGGAGCAGTGTTCCTAGCTTCTGCATCATGCGGTTAAATTTTGGGTTCAACACATAACAGTAGTGAAAAAGTATGCTGTGCTGTTACTCCACACTAAACCTGGAGCAACAGGAATGAGTGTGTTTAACATAACCTTGGTGAGGGTGTGTGGTCTGCGAAGGAGTTCCTATGGTCTCAGATGAGAGCTCCTGCAAATGATCTGCGGTGAGATTCAACAACAATAGGATAGGCTGAAATTAGCCACAGCCTCAATGTACAAAAAGGAGTTTATTCCATGATCCAATTTAATACCTGACTAACAAGGGCTGTCCTGCAAGTCTGCCTTTCTTCCGCAAGTGTAGTTGATACGGAAAATAAGCTTACAGAACTTAAGCATTTCCTTGAAGGAAAGAATGCTGGAGTTTGCTGCTTTTTCCTAAAGTATTCCCTCTTGGAGTAATATATATATGGTGCTTCTTTGAGAGATGCTGCCTTGGTATAAAATTATTCAGCTTGTTCGTCTTCGCTCTTGATTTGTGCTGAAGGTGATGGTGTGTGACTATTCTTCTTCTGGGTCTGTGACACTAGCAGGATGCCTGTGTTTCCAAGCCCATCCTAGGGAGAAAAAACCATAAATAACTAAAAAATCCCAAGCCTCAAAATCTGGAATTCAAAGTAGAAGATACAAGGCTGTTAGCAGATGGCTCTCTAATGCACCACTGATGTTGATGACGGGTCAGTGACTGTAATGGTCTGAGAAGAATGTATTAGGAACTGGAATTAGGGGTGAGTTGGATAGCCAGACACATCATTTTGAAGCGCAAACTTAATGCTTGTTTTGCAAGTTAGGCAGGTATCTGGCTAAATATCAGCATTTTGTTCTCAGCAAATTGGGCTTTGTGCTTTTTCTTGGCTTCTTTTAGCAAAGCTTTGATTAAATTAAGTCTGATATGAGGCACCAGAATTCGTGGTGTAGGACTGTTGTTTACAGCATAAATCAGACAGTAATAATGTACTGAGATCAGTTTAGACTGAAGGCTGATTTAGCAGCATTCAGTTCATATTCAAATCTGTTAATTTGTATACCTTAGTAATGTAGAAAAAGGGTAAGACTTCTCTAATCTATAAGTAGGTTCTAGCTGTATTACAGCTCTCTCTTCCCACTTGATGCTTAGCATGTGCCAAGGATCAATACACGGAGATGGCTAGGGCAGAAAGCTTTAATTTGTTAGCTTTAATCCTGGGAGATGTGAACTGGAACTGTATTTTTGACATAATACAGAAGGATTGCTTGGAATGGATGTGTGATGGCCGAGTAATTACTTGTAATGACAGGCAGGAAGAATGTCCCTTTTAGCCAAGCATTGCTCTTAGAGGGTAATAGATAGTGTAGAAATGGATGTGTTAGAGACAGATTAGGTAGGAATTAAAAGTAATTCAACAAGAGAATGAGACTTGCTGTGGTTGGTATTAATCTTGTCCTGGTACCACTGACATCTAAATGCCTACCTAGTTTTGGTTTATGTACTTGCTATGATGCAAATCAGTTTTTAATGCATACTCTGGAGAAAAGCTATGCATCTGCTCACACCTATTTTAGTTCCCAGTTCTCACAAAGATTTAAATGTTTTGCTGTTGCTTAGTTTGTGTAAATCATGTCCAAGTCTTGATCAAATACTTACTGAAAATGGATTGCTTTCCAATTTGACCGAGATGCCAGTTGTTTTGACACTCGATCCTCTTCAGCACTGAGGAAGTAACAATCTTTTATTTCTTTCCAAAGAATAAACCAATACTCTGAAAAATAAGTTTCAATAAAAAATAAAACTGACCCTTTGGAATATGTTTTGGAAGGGAGTCTGGAGAACCAGGAGAGATTTGAAGCAGAGTGATGAAAGTGCTGATTTTCTTTATCCCCATATGAATCAGAACAGCTGTCTGGTAGGGGTTCTGGCACAGCAACTGCCGCAAGTGCAAAGCGATTAGGCTAGGAAAGGGGAAAAAACCCACACAACTAAGGGATAAGTAAAACTGGGTATATTTGGTGGTGCAATACTCTGATGCCTGGCGTTAATTTATGCAGAACTGATCCCTAGCTATCCCCCGTGGGTTTTTTATTGCTGTTGAAATTAATGGCTTTTAGTAGCAGCAGAAAAAAATGGAAGAACAGTAACCTCAAGCATAATTTCTCTTGTTATATTTATTTCCTACTGTAATTTGTTAATAAATTGCGTGGGTTCAGGTAAGAAAGCTTCTATAACTCTCATTGACACACTTTCCCTTCAGGTTAGGTGTCAAACATTGAAAACCTTAGGCGATGTGGAGGAGGAAGAGCAGCTGCCTGATGTCAGCCCTGTCCTCGGGAAGCAACTGCAATGTTAGAGTGAAATGACAAAAAGAAAATCCCCAGATTTCTCAAACTTCCTGGAGCGATTACATCCGTTTTTGCCCTGAAGAGGCCAGAGAACAGAAGCAGCTGCTCATGCCCGCAGCAGGGCACAGCCAGCCCGCCAATCTGAAGGTGTAACTCCAGTCTGGTGCCATCCCTGAAGGGGTAACCGCTTCCTCCCCACCGGTCAATAATCAGAAACTTTGCCGGGCAGAAAGCGGTAAATGATGAGAGTTGAGCTCATTCCCAGCCTGCTTTCCACAGCCGGCCGCGGCTCTTTTTATTTTAAGCTGTTGATTCCCTCTGGGTGCTTTGGCTTCTCTCTTTGTGCGTAATGAATGATGAGAAGTAAATGCTTTCATCAGGAAAGGTCTAAGAGTTATGGAGAGTCCCGTGTCCCGTTTGCTGATGGACAGCTGTTTTTTTGCTAGGTATTCTTCCCCAGGGAGAGTTACTGAGCTCCTATGATCCGCACAGCACAGACAGTTCTTTGGTTTCTGTGGTAAAACAGCCTTTACATGAAGGGTGGCTGAAAGATTAAGCCAACAGGGAAAAGAAGTCTGATACGTTTCGGATCCTTGTGTCAGAGAGTGGTTTTACTTTTAAAGTTATGCCCAACTGATCTTTGAAGTAGTGATAATATTGCCCCTTCCTGAGCCTGCAGAGAAATGAGGGGAAAGATTTTTATCCCTTTAAAGTCTATCATGGAGTTCAGTGATGAGATCTTATTGACATCATCAACCAGCGGAAAAGCGGTAGTGTTTGGGCATCTGTCCGTAGATGTAGCTGTGGGATGAAGAAGGAACACCAGTCTTCAGTCGCACGTCTGGGTCTTACTGGTGCACCGTTGGGTATCAGCTGAGAAACCTGTGTTGCCACCATTGTCCAGAGGATTAACCAAGCAAACAGCAAATCCCTGGGCATTGACTGGCCACCAGAGCTGTGCCTTTGGCTCCTGACTTTAGGCCTCTTCCACACCACTCTGCGCTTCTGAATCTGCTGGAGAAGAGGGTTTGAAGGCGAGAGCTTCAGGATCCAGAAAAATGGGTTGTGTTAAAGCCCTCCCTGCTGTGGGTGCTCATCCTCTTACTGCAAGTACAAATTCTGATATGCATCGGGGTGAAGGAATTTAAAATTAATACGTTTTCTTCCTTCCGCTGCTAGTAATTTATTTTTTTTTCACAAGTTCCAATATATGGAGAAAAATACTTTAGCGGAATGGTTTTGCAATTCTTTCTAATAACCAAATCCCTCTTCTGCTTTTTCCCTAGCTATAATACAGTGTGTAGTTCATGCCACAGGCAACATTGCTTTGTTCATCAGACGAAGATTACAGCGAATTACTGGGAGATGCTTAAGCTATACAGCACTTGGGAGCACCTGCCCGATGCTGAACACTTGAGTTGAGGTTTTTCTTTTGGCCTAAGGGTGAAGACTCCAGTGTTAGAGACACACTGGCGCTTCTGAGACGCAGACTGGGGGAAAAAAAGCATCCCAGACCAGTTTCTGCTATCAATTACGGGTAAGTAATTTGTTTCCAAGTATTGTAGGATTTGTCTTAAAGTAGGAAGGGGAGAGTCTGCAGTTCTTAGGTGTCCAAAGCTTGTGAGTGCTGAGCTTCCAAAAAAAAGGTCTTGAGCTGTGTGTTTCTCTTCTCTTTGTGATTAGGGGGTGCAGCTGCTCCTGTTACAGCCTCATATTGTGGAGTGCTGCTGATACAATCCAGGATGGCTTGTGTGGTCTTTGCTCCACCTTGGCTCAGGCCTAGCAGTGCAGTAGAGTTTGTTTGGTTTTGCTTGGTTTTCATTTTAACAAGGATCTAGCAAATGGATTATCAGGTAACTAAG